TCTCATTCATTCAACGTGATTGAAAATGAATTACAGCATCTATATAAATAGCATACAGGACCATTTAGCTGGCAACTAACTAACAACTCAATTACCCCACTAACCGATAACTAACGGAATCATTTAACTATCAAATGTATACAACTTTTGTATCTACATCTTTAATACTCCCCCTCAAGATGTGTTGTAAATGTTTTTGACAAACATCTTGTATAATAAAGGAATGAGAGTCGAAGCATGAAGTGGTTTGGTAAAAACATCAGCTAGTTGGTGTCGTGATCGGATTGGAAGAAGTTTAACCATTGAAGCTGGAATTTTATCTCGAATGAAGTGACAGTTGATTTCGATATGCTTGTGATGAGAATCATGGAGGGTAAGCTAACAAGAATCCATTGTATGTTCTGGAGTGATACAGATCAATTAGAAGAGAAGATCATAAACCAAATATAAAATGGAAGGAATATGAAATGTACGAAAACGCACATGATGTACAAAAATGCATATAACTTTAAGCTCGATTGTCAGATTTTCGCCCATGAGTACAATCCGGAAACGTATTTCGATTCTGAGGGTCAAATTCAATTGTTTAGAGGTTCATTTTTGCGTTTTTATGTTTCCAATTAGTTTAAGGGTATTTACGTTATTTGAAGTATTTTAATTTTTTTCAGATTTGTTTTGTAGTGTTGTCGTTTATTTGGATTGTCTTTAGAATTAGAGTTTTGTCCTATAAAATGCACATTCATTGTACAATAAAGACGTTAATTTTTGAAAATTACTCATATTCATAATGTGAAATTTTTTCACTTCTATCTTGTTTTTAATTGAACAAAACTTATCAAATATTTTCAATATTTGTGGCATTCAAACTATTCAAACTTATCAAAGATTCGTACTCTTTGTGGCATTCAACAACCTCATAGCAAGGTTCATAATTTTTGTGATCACGGGGTCAATATATCGTTAGCGATTGTTTTGGTTCTTTGGTTCAATAAATAATTGGGTCAAGTTTCAAACCAGGATTTTAGCTTTCTTGGGGTTGTGATTCAATCCTTTGTGGGTTTTAGAGCTACTATTTCTACATGAATTCGCATTAGCTTGGTTCATTCATGAAAGGTGGGATTAGTGGCAATTTGACTTGCCGCTTGATTGTCACAAAATAGAATAGCAGGAGAGGCTACAAATGTCTGAAAACATTTTAACAATTGAGCGATCCATAGAATTTCACTAATGGTTGCAGCAAGGGCATGATACTCTGCTTCAACAGATGAGCAGGATACTACTATAAGCTGCCTTTTAGTTTTCCAAGAAATCAGTGAGTCACCTAGGAAGATGCAGAACCATGTTGTGAACTTCCTCGTGTCAATACATGAACCCCGATCAGCTTAAGAAAATACTTTCAATTTGATAGGTGAAAGTGAGTATGTTGAAAAGAATAGGCCTTGATCAGGGTTGTTCTTCAAGTAACGAAGAAAGTGGTGTACTACTTTGAGATGTGGCAATCGAGGTTAGGATAGAAGTTGACTCAATTTGTGAACGGCATATGTGATGTAAGGCATGGATAGTGTCAAATAGATTAGTCTTCCAATCAAACGTCTATAGTACGAGGCATCAAGCAATAGATCCCCCTCATGTATGCTGTTAAAGGGTATTTAGGTCTTTTATGTAATACCTAGGGTCTCCTAAGGTTTTCCTAACTCTTATTATAAATAGTGGGACAGGCTAACGTAATTGTTAAGCCTTCTAATTCTTTTACTTTAACAGA